TGCAAAATTTTGCACTTTTTAAGTTAAATGGATACCACCCCCAAAATCCCCCCCGCCGGAAGGGCGGGCGGGGAAATTCGGGGAGTTGAAGTCCATTCATCTTAAAGTGGCCAAGTTTGGACAACACTGCCTTAACCACTCCATGCTCATAAATTCCTTGGATCAATGTTTCCCAACCCACCCCTTACATAAATTGACACATTGCCTGGGAGAGACATTATGCCAGAGAGTTACGGGGAAAATTAAATGGCAGAGAGCAGTATTGTGGACCATTGCGTCAAGGTTCTATTTTGCTAGGATCATAACCCTACAGCCACCATTCTTTTACCCCTACAGAGAGTACTTTGTAAATATGAAAACCAAAATCCCAACTAAATAGGACATAAAACTTAAGCTTTGCAAATCTCTTGGCATCCCAAATATACTTAAGGTCCACTTTGATTAGTGAGTTTCCATTCCAAATAGATGTCCCTAAGACTACAATTTCAATGCTTCTCTGCATATGCACTATCAAGAGCCATAATAAATAATTAAGTGGGGCAAGGCATTCATTCAGTCTACATGCTGTCAGACTTCCTTCATGAAGGAGTGCCACAAATTTGTCATTAGGCTCAATTAAATGCCTTAACCTGCACAATTAGGAAAGACTTTGGCAAACAAGTTGCTAGCACAGTAGGCAACCTTAGGCTTTAGTGGTCTCATTTAGGAGTACAAGGCAGGTATATGGATGAATATGGCATAAGTTGGGGGATGGCAACCAGCATTAGTCCCTGAACCTCATTTTGACAGCTCCGGAACTCTCTTTCATTTAATGAAAACCATCAGCAGTTTCCCATCATTTCCAGGCACACAACAGTGGCAGTGCAAAGCCATAAGATAGATTCATAAAATAAGTTTAATGAAGTTTAAGAACCAAACTCCCACCACTCCCCCCCATGTCCCCCCAACTCCACCACTGCATGTGAGAAAGCTACAACTCCCCACTCTGTGTATCTTGATTGGGTGTGTATTTTAGTTCATAAGAATCACTGATACTTCAGGATTTACCAATTGTGAGGCAGGTTCCACTTCAGTCATTCATGAGGCTGTTACTGTTTTGCTAGTATGGAGCATTCACAAAATGCGGTGGACAAGGGCTTGTTTTTTATGAGCCATTTTTAATTTTAACAAGGATTCACCTCCCCACCCCCGCACCACCCTGCTCACCCAACACCTATGTTTTAGTCAGTCTGGCACATAGATCATTTAAAGCCTTGTACATTATACCAAAATAGTGATTAAATATATAACAGAACAAAATTTTTCACTTCAGGACCAAACTAATAAGCAAACCTCTCTCACAGCTTTGTTTGTGTTTTAATGATTAACAAGCTCTAAGCTGTCATTCCATATTGCTTTACAGTGCAGGTTGCTGGCTGAAGGACAATCTGTGGGTTTGAGAGCCAAACACAACACCTCTTCCTGTTTACATGCAAGTTCTCCTACAACCACTTCAGTTTTGCCAGCTGCTTTTTGTGTAGGCAAACTATTAGATTCATGGTAATACACTTTGCACATACCACCATATTTGTTTTGCTATGGAAATTTACAGAGTATAGCCAACCAACTCTGAGTGCTGGTGAAATTGATTATCTCCATTAGCAATAGGTACTTTATATGTATTAATGGGTGGATTCAGAACTCTGGAGAGCTATATGGTATAATTTCTGTGTGCCTATGAAATAGTGCCTCAACAAAGAACATACATGGATGAGAAATAACACTTCAGACCCACTCTTCCTGACAACAGTTGGATCAAGAGACATGTTGTCATGGAGCTATACCCCATCTAGACATACATGAATTAGTCCTATGTGAGTCCAACTGGGATATGTAGGGAACACTGCATTTTTCTGTTGAATAAGATGGCTTTATCTAGACTTCTAGGACTGAAAACATGTTGGGATACACAGGCAGAGAAAAACATGGAATTTTAAAAGAGTAAAGCATAGCAGAAAATAGAAGCAACACCAAAACTTTAAGGTGTTCAGAATAATGTTTATCTGGTACCAAACCTTTCAGCACTCTTAATAATTTTGAGTTTGTGGATGCTAACCAAAGCATAGGAAGAATGTGCTGTATTGTATGCTGTTTAGAATCCTTTTCCACATACATTCATGTTTAGTTTTCTGGATGCCCAGATTATTCTTATCATCACAACCTCAGCCTTATTAATGAGAGACTTCTATAAGCATCAGCAGGCTTCTAACCAGGTACTACTGATCTTTCAGAACACTGAGATGGTAATGAAAATGAGATGCTCACAGTAGATGATATTTGGGCTTAAGAAAGGAAGATGTCAGGAAAGCTGCATGTCTTCATCTCTGAAAGGTCTCAATGGGCAACAATAAAATTAGAATAACAACAGGTCTTCTTTATCTAGCAGCATCATTTTGTTCAAATATGTTAATTTTGAAGTACTGCATTCTATACCAGTTGTAGATTACTGAGGCTTTTTTACTGCCAGTAAAGCTAATAGAGCCAGTTGTGCTTAGAGCAAGAGAGATGAAACACTAGTTGTTTTTGAGATGCTTGGATGTATTACTCACCATCACATCACCCAGTCCCTCCACAATCACAGCAAGTGTTAAACAGAGAAACAGAAACGTACCACAGAATAAGGAGAACATCTTAAAGCTGTCTGTCAGACAGATGCACGAATGGAGCAAGCTCCAGTCATGACCCCAGCAATCCTGGGAAAGACACAGTCATGGGACATAATGCCTGAAGCAGTCTGAAATACAGATGGGTCTTTTGCTTCTTCAACACTAGAATAAACACTCTAAAGTTTGGCCCAAGGGATGGTACCCAAGATTTTTAATAATTCTACACTCACATCTGAAATTCTTTGTCTACAAAATGCTAGCCATTCAGTGATGATTACCAACCAAAACCCAGTCATTGCATGCAGCAGTCCTTTAGCAGCCCCTCCCTGCCAAAAACTGGGGGAGTGCTCAGAGAAACCCAGAAAAATGTTAGGTTTAGTATTCACCTCCAGAAGCCAACTTGGTAAGTCTTTACACAAAGCAAAACTTCCATGGCCAACTCTGAATAAAGGCGATGAGGGCTAGAAGCATTAAGTGGCTGGCTTTTCCTGCTCTCGGTCCAAGTCATGGCAAGTAGACAATGTGCCACATTTCTCCATCTGAATGATTAAGGTGTTATAATTCTATTCTCTGACAGTAATAAAGCAACTGGTACTCTTGTGTAGTCTTATTAAATCAGAAGATCTACCCAACAGTGAATGATTTGAGGACTGCTTCCAGTCCGCATCTTCATAGTGAGAGTCATTTCTCAATCTCAGGGGAGCCACAATAACTAATCCCCAGTTCCTCATCCCAGCACATGGCATGCCCAGTGACTTTCTTCCTATTCCCATGTTTTACAACATCTCCGAGCAGTCAAAGTGGCTCTGTTCATATTGCTTGTTAACTTTCAGGGCAAGAAAAAAACTTTTCCAAAGCTTAGCATTAGGGAAAAGAAGAATGGAAGGAAAAAAATCATTCATCTGTACTCCCATAAAAAAAAAGACAGGAAAGAAGAACCTGTTCTTTTTCGGCATGAAATAATTGCCCCCTTAAACGTTTGCACTTGAGCCCCTAAGTGATTCAGGTTAGCAAGGAGAACATTTTGACTCATGAACATAGAGCATATTAGAAGGTACATGAGGGATTTGCTGTTTGAAGATTATTTATTTATTTATTTTGGGCAGCCTTACTTCCTGTTTGTGAAAAACTTGCAAATCAAGGAAACAGCTTTCTAGTTTAGAAAAGAGAAGTTGCCCTGCTATGCAAGTTTTCTAGATAAGAAAATGTTTTTCTTCCCAACATGCTGGTTTCCAAGTGTGCAAAATAGCCCCTATAATCGGAAACAAGGTTCAATTACTGTATGTATCTGCCTTGAAGGTTTTGTATGTATCTATAAAACATTGCTAACAAATAAACAGCACATTCACTTGTGCTTAAGAATGTGCTTAAGCACATTTACTTGTGCTTAAGAAAAGAATATATGTGTATAGGCACATGCAGAATGGCTAATTTATATGCCATTATCTGTAAACACACCACACAGCCTCACACTTGCAGGTTATAAACATGTATGAGTATGCATATTCATACATGGAAACACATATGAGGAGGTACAGTGTTTGTCCACAAACATGTGAGACAAGCACATACACTTTACAACAAAGCTAGGAATGTGCAAAACATTCCAGAGACAGGATGGTTGGAGGACTGTCCCATCCTTTCTCAGACCACACTGATTTGGCAGCTTCAAGGGCGGTCCAGCAGTTTTGTGGAAGTAGGAAATCTTCCAGAAGTAGGAAGTGATTTTTCCAGAAGGAAATCTTTTTGAGTAGGAAGTAGTTTGAGCATGGCCCAGCCCTGAAGCTTTACCTCCAGAAAGTTGCTAGACCAACCCTAGAATGACCAGATGGCATGGTCCAGAGGAGTAAAAGAAGATGCTGGAGACACAATGTTTGCACATACCTAAATGAAACATCATAATCCAGTAAAAATACTTTGATACTGATATATTGCTTCCTTTTCCTCATTGTGAAAAGAGGAAGGGAGGGAGGAAGGGAGGGAGGGAGAGAGAATGAGAATGAGAATATTGTTGTCATGTCAAATGAACTCTGGGGATAGGCATAGTATACTAATATCTATATGCCTCCTCCTCATTTCTCTGTATCCCAATAGTTTTTGGAATATAGGAAAAGCATACAGCAATTGCATAAATGGTATCCTGTCTAATTTAGCCGTAAGCCTGAGCACAGGCTTAAGTATAGTATAGATTGAACTACAGACATGAAGAGGCATATAAGCACAAGACATTCAAACATGTCTGAGGAAATGGGAATGCACACAATCTGCAAACAGATATATGAACAAAGAGACATTGTTGACAGGTGCTCTGGACTAGCTGTTCAGGAGTCCTGCACAAGAGAAGCCTTTGAGTGCTAAAATGAGACAGTTTGGAAGATTTTCATTCAAACAAATCCATGCTACACTCCAAGCATCTGATGCACAGTGCTGATTTGGTTTGCTACGCTAAATGAGAATTGGGAGTGTATGAATATAGTTTTAAGCTAAACCTGAAATTGAGACCTTAGAGGCAACAACAACAGAGCACAAAGAAGAAAGTAAGGAATCAATTGTGATTGCTTGGGGAGAGGGAGCTAAATAGCCTTATGGACCACAAAGCTCAAAGAAGACCATTCTAACACTGCATTCCATTGATTATCCTCCAGGCTAAATCAATGTTCAGAACAAGGCAGGTCTGAAGGTGGCTAAATTTTGAACTCCTCTACCACTGTATGGATCCAAATCCATTAAGAAAGAGAGTGGACCATTGATCTCTACAAAGAGGATGCAAACAAGAGAACCAAGAATGTGCTGGGGAGAAGCAGAATATTTCAATACTTCATCCCTAATACACAGATATTAACTTTTTCTTCAATCTGCTGTCTTGATGGCTTCCTCAAGCTACAATAATGGAGCTGTGAGGATTCAAACTATTTAACACATTTCTCAGCTACTGATTCCTTCGTACAAGAGCTTCACTAAAGATTCAGGAGTGACAAATTTGATTCAATATCTCAGGATACTATCTTTATGGAGACCTGTTTGTTCTGACCAAGCAGTCAAAAGTATTGCCAGTGCAAAAAGATGAACATCATCATTTCATCCTGTTGTAAGAGGTGTTCTGGAATCATGTTGGAAGAATCAGCTTCACCAACTCATAACATACAATAACTTTCAGCACTGGTTCACACACTGGGTCAAGTCCTCTATGGTTACCGCAGTACCTGAGTCTTCTGCCACATTACAGCATTGAACACATTGATCTTCTCCTATACTCAATTACTACTGCATCACAATCTTGAAGGACTAGTACTGGCACATGCAGCTGGGTCACCTACTGCGTCATTGGCTTGTTTTGCTATTCCTCATTCTCAGCAGCCTCTTTTCTAAGGCTGCAGAAAGAGGGCACCATTAATGCTAGTAGTGATGGCTTTTTCTTTCAGATGGACTCTTTCACATAACAAACTAGAGAAGGAATTTGGTTCCCAAAGATACTAAATGTAACTGTTAAGAACTTGGTTTATTCTATAATCATGGAAACCAAAAGAAAGAGAGAAATTGCACCAATAATAGAGCAAAACGGAGCAGAAACATGTAACTAATTGGGATTACACTAACCCTGCACATAATCCATTACCTTACAAAGGGACACTATTAATTGTATTACTAATAAAGAGAATTCATATGCTGCATTTATGATAAAAACATATATGAAAGTGCACAATTCTTCACTTTCAATTATCAGTGCTACAGTTCTTTGGTCTTAACAGATGTAGCACCAATTCAAGGATGCATGTTGCAGAAAAAAAAGCCAATGAGGGGTCAAACAAGATAGAGTGCAGGGAGAAGTAAAAGGATGCTAAGACCAGGGACAGTCTATGTACAAACTTATATCTACTGGTTCAGGTAGAACTCACCACCACCACTGCATGCCATCTCACTTCCAATTTCCTATTATAGCACACATCTTTAAGTCTGGCTACAAAGTGTGATAGGCAGTGAGTGTTCTACTGATTATAATTTCCTCTTCTTTATCACTCTCCAAATATTTGTTTGCAGACCAAATGTAGCACAGCTCTCAACATGGTTCAGTAACTGAAATCGTTTGTCTGGACGGAAAAGAATCAAGAACTATTATCAGTTTCTCTTTTCAGTCCCTAAAAAATATGAGTAAACAGATAACTTTATTCTTCACCCCTTTTTTCCTTTGGGGCAATAGACTCCTTGGTCCACTTGACTTGGGTGGTGTCCTGTTCTTCTGCAGAGCCAAGGTCACATGACAGACCTGCCATTCCATCCCCGTCACCATTGCCTTCCATGTCCAGTTCTTCAAAGGAGGAACCGCTGGCCCCTGATTCACTGTAGCTGTGCTCACTGCGATTGTCTGCCTCATCCCGACTGTGGCCAGACGTGAAAGGAGATAAGACAGAGGTAGCCGCTGAAGTCTCACTGATGTCAGTTGTGGCTTCGAGGCTGACAGAGCTTGTCTCACTCATGGTGTCCATACCTTTATTTAAAATTAAAGCAGAAAGTTAAAGCCAAAAGAAGATGACAAATCCAGAAAAACATATATCCACAGCAAACATCCCTTGCATTTCTCTGAATGTACTTTAAACTCTCCCATCATTAAGATGCACAAGCCATACAAATCCATTGCACTAAAAGATATCTAACATATTTTCAGTCTCCGCTATAAGAACATGGGGTAATATAAGTAGCAAAAGCCCCAACCTGGCCCCATAGCTTCACTTAATTCTTATATAAAATGAAAATATTTCTGGGACCACTTCCTATTGAATTTATGAATCTTATACTCAGAATTTTCATTGGATCTATAAGTACAATCCTAAGGATAGTCATCCGTGGGACCAATACCTATCAAAACAGGTATAATGACAATATGTAATTTTCAGCCAGATATATGGATGTCAAGATGCTCTAAACTCCCCCAAACTGCATCTGCAAAACTGGTAAATATAATTAAATAAAACTTTAAAAAATGAAGAATAGAATATGATTCAAGCCATATATCTGAAAGAACATAGGTACAATTATTGTTCTATGTATGTATTCATATCAAATTTACTCAAAAGGCAGACAACCATGAATTTAAGGCACATCCTGCAAAGGGAGGGAGGGAATTCTGTGTAATGGCCAGCTTCCCCATCTTGTCATGTTAGGATCGCTAACTTCAGCTGCACCTAATCCTTGAGATCTACCTCCTTCCCAAGAAATGTGTGCATGTGACATACTCCTCTGTGTGTGTGTGTGTGTGTGTGTGTGTATTGCCTAAAAAAAAGTATAACATTCATAAAACTGATTTATCCTATATTTGCATTTACCAACTGTTCTCTCTTACACATAGAGATGCACACAACTACACACAGACACATTCCTGTTCTTCCTTTCAACAGGAACAGCAAAAAAGAAGAAGAAAACAGAACAGATATGGGAGTAAAGGGAAGGGGAAGTTGAATGGGAAAAGGAAAAACAGAAGAGAACAAATCTGATGAATATGAAGCAAATAGATGAAATAACTGTACAAGGAAGGAAACAAAAAAGAAGTCCTGTTTAGACACCATAAAATGTAAAAATCTTTGAATTGTGCTCGACTCCTGGTGACACATCCAGATAGCTTTCTTGGCAGCAATACATTTGTTTTTCAGCTTCCCAATGTTGAAAAACAAATGCAAACACTTTCGGATGGTCTCCCACCTACGTACTAATCAGATCTGAGCCTATGTAACTTTTAAAGTCAGCTAAGGTCAGCTAGATGCTGCTACTACCCACTTCACTTAGGCACTATAAAAAGGGTTAAATTCAACAGACAAACAACTGCTTGCAAGTACAGTAACTGCTCATCTTCAAGTTACCCTTCAAAACCATCCACACTTTTCAGCAGCAATCTCTGCAGCCATTTGAAGCTCTGCTTATTTCCTTGTCTATATAATTCTTCTTCTATTCTTAGTGAATGCAAGATAAAACCCCCCACTCCCAGTTCACAAGAATTTGGGGAAAACCCTCATCTTCAGTACGGAGGTAATATTAGGCTTTCTGTTGAAATCTACAATTGCCTTCCCTGCCTTTGAAAATAACAACTGTTCTCTCCTGCTCTGCAGAAATATTCACGGGAAAGGAACATACCTGTCCTGCCAATGACCTTCTTTTCTACATTGGACTAGACTCCTGAAATAACAATTTTGCAGCCTAAATTCTGTAGTTCAAGGAACAATATACTAAGGCCTTATTTTAATAAGCATGAGGAGAGTCAGTCTGGTTTAATGTCAGGGCCGGATTAAGGCCAACTGATGCCCTAAGCACAGCCCAACCCTGGTGCCCCTTGAGATAAGGGAAACTCTCATGCCACGAGATGGAAACAAATGGGATCTCTGATGCCACATTCAAATCAAACTTTTAAACTTTAGTTATTCGCCATGCCAAAGAAATCTTAAAAAAAAAAAAAAATGAAGATTCAAGTCCAACATGACAGACAAGGACTATTACTGAAATAAATTTTTTTTTAAAAAATGACTAGAGTTAAGTGTGATGGTGGGAGTTAAGGGAAAAAAACATTGTAGTGCTCCCCTTCCCTTAGTGCCCAAAGCACATGCTTATTTTGCTTAATGGTTAATCCAGGGCTGTGTAAGGTGCTGGGCTAGAATCGGGGAGACTTTGGGTCAGTCACTCTCTCTCAGCCGAAGCCACTTCACAGGGTTGTTGTAGAGAAAACAGGAGGTGAGGGCATTAAGTATTTATGCTGTCTTAAGTTGCTCAGAAATAAAGGCAGGATATAAATCTAATAAATAAATACATTGACTTAAGGTTTAGAGAGGCCTAATCTCTACTCAGAAACAAAGGAATAAAATCATCCTGATTAGGTGTTAGTATAACGCTCTTTCATTCAAAAATAATACACAATACAAACTTGTCCTTTATGGCACTAATCTTTCTCTTCAATGTTCTGACCTAAGGATGTTCATCCAAGACAGGCCTGACAGCAAATTCAAGTTCTGATGTACTCCCTGTTTGGAGTGTCAAAAATACTATTTGTCAGGCTCTATATATTGGTTAATGTATCTCAAATTGTTCTTCTAACCCCAGATGTTCTATTACACCACATTTAGCTCAGCCAAACTTTTCTGTTTCAGAGAAAATGTTGATAGTGTAGTGCATTTTGATTGCCCTCTACTGGACGTTTTCTCAAGCAAGTCTCTTTGGTGTACTCCCTTAACTGAATTAATGCCATGCTTTTCCCCCCCTCAAATGGATTCAAGGCTTAGAACAGTAAATTATAGAAAAAGAACACTAACATTTTACATTCTCCAATGTACCTAATGTTTCTTTCAACAGCATTTAACGTATAATTAAACAGAAAACCTATAAAGAGTGAGTTAATGGAATTCCACCCATTGGAATGACACAACAGAGAAAAATGGTTGGATATGTAACCTATGACATCTAATCTAAAAAATAAAAAGGTTTATGTTTAACACCAAAGACTGCAATATGCATTTCCTCCCTAATGGTAACTAATATTCCCTAAACAAACAATCTAAAACACACACATGACTGAAAAGAGGGCTTGGGCGGAGAATTTTCTTTTGACATGGTTGAACAATTCTTGAATTGTAAGTGGGGAAGCTTTCAGGGGCAGCCAAGAACGTATCTTTGATCTACATAAAAAGAATTGTATATACTTCATATTGAAAAAAAAGGTTACAGGCTTACCCAGCAGGGATATGAAAATATTTTCAAGTATCCCATGCATAATATTTTAGTATCTACTTGCTCAGTCTTCAGAATAGCTCTCATCTTCTGAAAAAGAAGCAGCACTCTGTTTTTGTTCCTTATGGCATGCGCTGTAGCTCTTGACTGATTTCACATGGAAATTCAGTAATAAATAAATAAACAGGGACAGAATACTTCATTAGAACCATTTTTTTTTCCTGAAAACAATGCAGTGGTTTAGACATATACTGGAGAGACATGACCTTCACGGAGGAACATTCCTAGATTTAGAAAGAACCCATTATTAACATATATAAAGGAATCCAGCCATATTCTAGGCCCTCCAGAACCTTCAGTTAGCTCTCCTTGGTCTAGTAACCCTCAGGTACTAAAACTCTCTCCAGTTCTTTGTGTAAGCTTGTAAAAGACCCCTTCAATTAATTTCTATTGGGTTTTAATAGCTCTGAGCTACTCTTGTTTGCTCTTCTCATTTTTCATTGGAAAATAAAAAGCTCCTTAATGTTACCAAATAAGTCAGTGGCCTGGAGACCTGAGTGATTTCAAACGACACCCCATTCATTCCTCATATGCTTTGGGGACATTACATCCAGCTCCCTGCACTTCCACAAAGGAGACAAAAAACTACCCCTTCCAGCACTTTTGTCCCCAATCATGAGTTACGTATGAGGAACAGAAACTTTGTATTTTGGGAACACAGTGTGCCTAAAGCTTAGTGCATGCTCGTTTCATCAACAGGCCCAAATAGAAGTTCAAATGTTTGATGAAAAGTTGCCTGCTTCTTTCACTGCAGACCTCAAAATGCAAGCACTTTTGATTATGTTACTTGTGGAGCTAAACCCTTTATTATGATTCACCTGACAGAGAGCTAGCACTGTTAACCACCTGCCATAAATGGTTCGTAGATCTATTTCCTTCCTACTGGAATCAAATGAGGTCAGACAAGGGCAAAGTTTGGAGATCACAGAACTTTTTTTTAAAGTGCATATACTGTATTTTATATAGCAATATCGAATAATGGCTTCTTTTAGCAGAACTGTCAGAAGGTTCATAGCTCTGTAACACAACATATATTTTGCATTCAGTACTTCAAAGTTCAAGCCTTGACGTTTTTAATTCAATCAATTTTTGGTAGTATGTCTGGGAAAGACCCATTTCTGGGACCCTTGGAGTTGATTTTATATATACCCTCAAGCACACTCTGACGTTGGTGGCCTCCATAAAGTCTCTGGGAGGCTTTCTATGTCTCATTCGATGATAAGTAGAAAGCATAGCACCACCATGTTTTAGATATGCAATGTGGATTATAAAACCAGATAGCCATGTATTCTCTTGCATGCTCAAATATTGATTCTGACAGATTTTCAAGTAATTATTTACTCTCTAATTTGGTGTGATTTTCCAGCAAGTTTTGGAGAACTAGATGGCTTTCTTCTTTCATTTTTAACTCCAACAGCCCCTATTTGATGCATGATCACTGTCAGTCTTGGAGTTTCAACCATGAGTTCTTTTGGCTAGTGTGGGTCTTCCGGGCTGTGTGGCCGTGTTCTGGAAGCTTCTGCTTCCATTGGATCTTGCAGCTTTTGTCATTGAATATCACCTCATGCTTTTTGGAGAAAATACCCAGTCTGGGAATGGAACCTGTGTATGTAATACACATTAGAGCAGTATTTCTCAATCTTAGCAACTTTAAGACATGTGGACTTCAACTCCCAGAATTCCCCCCAGCTAGGGAATTCTGGGAGTTGAAGTCCACATATC